TTGATTAATCCGTAACACCGCAGCCTTTATAGTCCTCAATCCTTATATCTATAGTGGCTAGTACCTCAGCCAAGCCCGGATTAAGGAGGGGGGGACTAGGGGGGTCATGGTCCCCGGGCCTCGATAATTAAAATTTATTTAGGGGCCTCAGATTTGCCCATTAATTTTTTCATTAAAGGGCATAAATTACCTAAAAAATCGATAATTATATTTAGCGAGGGATAAAGCTTGTAAGTTATAATTTATAAATAAAGTGATAGGTACATTATTCATTATTTATTGCTACGTAACTAATACCTATATATATTTATTATAACATTTACCTATTATTAAATAATATAATATACATTATTTTTTTTTCGTACAGGGGCCTTATTTTAAACTGGTCCCTGGGCCTCAAAATGCCCTTAATCCGGGCTTGACCTCAGCACCTTGTTTGTTATGTAAGCAGTATGCAAGTAGGCGATCGCACGGTAAACGAAAAAAGAGTCACTGGAAAATAAAGTCCACGGTAAAAACGTTCCCGGAAAAAACGTACCCGTTAATAAAATCAAATAAAAAAAAGGTGGGCAAGTGGGTGTCGCTCTGCTGTACAGTAGGTTACAAGTGGGTCATTGTATAATGGATGGTATTAAATTTGAATTCAATGATATAATATCATTGTATAAGAAAAACGATTCTGAGAGGAGACGGTATGTCCTTCTAGGTATAAGACATATTATATACATATCTATGGTATTAAAAAAAATTGACCTATAATGAATTCCAAATTAATCATATCACAATATCCATTAGGTACTTATAACGCGTTATACACCAACAACAACCCTGATACTATCATAGATATATATAGTAGATTACTTTAGAAATTTCAAGTACCCACGAATAATATTATACAATCACAACAAAATAACTAAAATCGTAATTCTTGGTTTAAATATGAAATTTTGTCTAAATTTGAAATTAAAATATCTGTAAAAAATAAGTGTGTTTATATATTTTTTAGATTTTTTGGTTACAGTATGAATTATTTAAGAGAATCTTTGTTTTAAATTTTCAACTCTTAGTTATAAAAACTGAACATTTTATAATTTTTTAATTCCAACGATTGATAATTTTTGAGATTTTGATAAATTTTGTCAAAATTCCAACTTTAAATGCTTTTAAAAAAAAAATCGTGCCTATGTATTTTTAATATTTTTCAACTGATATTGTAACAATATATCAGGAGCCTTGTATTAAATTTTTACACTTTTTGGCCCAACAGATAAAACTTTATTGATATTTATAGAAAAAAAAACTAAAAAAAATTGAAAGCTGTAAATGTCCATAAACAGCTCAAAAAGAGTCAAAATATTTTCAAATTTGTATGGTGTATAGAAAATGCTAATTTAAACATTCAGTGAAATTTTCATGTATCTACAGTTGTTCGTTTTTGAATTGCAACAAAATAAGGAAATCGCTACATGAGTAATCGAGTGAATATCCAATGTTGTAAAAATTTGAATTTCAAACGCTCATAAAAATTTAATTTGACTGTCCGGTAGAGATATTTTTTTATTGATAAAGGTAGATAATCTTATAAGGAATCTTGTGTTTCATTTTCAAATCTTAGATTTAAAAAGAAAAATTTTTACGAGTTCTTAACTCAAAATAATTTGCTAATTTTCGTGATTTTTCCATATTTTGTCAATTTTTGAACTTTAAATGCTTATAAAAAAAAATTGTGACTAAGGATTTTTAATATTTTTCATCTGCCTTTGAAACAACATATTAGGAGCCTTCTATTAAATTTTCAAGCTTTCGCAACCAATAAATAAAATTTTATTGATATTTTTAGAAAAAAAACTAAAAAAAAATGGAAAATGAAAATGTTATCGTGTATAGAAAATGCAAATATAAACAACCAGTGAAAATTTCATGTATATACGTTCATTTGTTTTAGAGTTACACCAATAACCAAAATCGATTTTTTGGAAAACCAATTTTGCGTAAAAATTCCCGTTTTTCCTTAATTTTTATGTTGTTTTTCCCGGCGCTTGTGAAAACTACTGGGAAATTTATACTTTTGACCCCCCAAAGTACCAACTAGATTCACTTTCCTATCAGAAAAGGTATTATTGAAGAAAATCGAAGCGCTTTTACAGTCCTAAAACGTGATGACAGACACAAAAATATAAAAATATAAATAAAAAGGTGGGCAAGTGGGTTTCGCTCTGCTGTACAGTAGGTTACAAGTGGGTCACTGTATAATGGATGGTATTAAATTTGAATTCAATGATACAATATCATTGTATAAGAAAAACGATTCTGAGCGAAGACGGTATGTCAGTCTAGGTTTAAGACAAATTAGATACATATCTATGGTATTAAAAACAAATTGACCTATAATAAATTCCAAATTAATCATATCACATTATCACAATATCCATTAGGTACTTATAACACGTTATACATCAACATCAATAACAAACCCTGATACCATCATAGATATATAATATTACACTTTAGAAGTTTCAATTAGGTACCCACGAATAATATTATATAATCACAACAAAATAACTAGGTTTTTTAATATGTAATTTCGTCCAAATTTGAACATAAAATGACTATAAAAATAAACTGTGTTGTATATTTTTTAGATTTTTCGGTAAAAGAATTAACTATTTACGTGGAATCTTGTTTTAAATTTTCAATCCTTAGCTATAAAAACTGAATATTTTATAATTTATAAATTACGCTGATTAATAATTTTCGAGATTTTGAAAAATTCTGTCAAAATTCGATGTTTAAATGCTTATAAAAAAAAATTGTGCCTATGTATTTTTAATATTTTTCAACTGCTATTGTAACAATATATCAGGAGCCTTGTATTAAATTTTTACACTTTGTGGCCCAACAGATAAAACTTTGTTGATATTCATAGAAAAAAAAACTAAAAAAATTGAAAAATGAAAATATCCGTAAACAGCTCAAAAAGAGTCAAAATATTTTCAAAATTGTATGGTGTATAGGAAATGCCAATATGAACATTCAGTGAAATTTTCATGTATCTATAGTTATTGGTTTATGAATAACAACAAAATAAGGAAATCGCTACATGTGAAATCGAGTGAACATCCAATGTTGTAAAAATTTGAATTTCAAACGCTCATAAAAATTTAATTTGACTGTCCGGTAGAGATTTTTTTATTGATAAAGGTAGACAAACTTATGAGTAATCTTGTATTACATTTTCAAATCCTAGATTTAAAAAGGAAAATTTTTGCGAATTTTTAACTCAAAATAATTTGCTAATTTTCGTGATTTTTCCATATTTTGTCAATTTTTGAACTTTAAATGCTTATAAAAAAAACTGTGACTAACGATTTTTAATATTTTTCATCTGCCTTTGGAACAATATACTAGGAGCCTTCTATTAAATTTTCAAGTTTTTTAACCAACAAATAAAATTTTATTGATATTTCTAGAAAAGAAACTAAAAAAAAATGAAAAATGAAATTGTCCCTAAACAGTTCAAAATAAATATAAATTAATAAAATATAAATATTTTGAAAATGTCATCGTGTGTAGAAAATGAAAATATAAACAACCAGTGAAAATTTCATGTATCTACGGTCATTTGTTTTAAAGTTACACCAAAAACCAAATTCGATTTTGTCAAAAACCGATTTTGCGTAAAAATTCCTGTTTTTCCTTAATTTTTATGTGGTTTTTCCCGGCGCTTGTGAAAACTATTGGGAATTTTAAATTTTGACTTTCTCAATGCATCAACGATATTCACTTTCCAATCGAATAAGATACTGAAGTCGAAAATCGAAGCATTATTTATTTTTGTACACACACACAAAAAAAAAAAAAATTAAAAAAAAACACACATCATTGTAAAATCAATATACATTCATCGTTTCACTCAGAATCTAAAAATTCATCAATTTATTGTTAAATTTTATTTTTATTTGAAAAATTATTCATTTAATTAGTAATTATTACTTTCACACAAGTCTTTCTCATTAAGGCCCAATAGTTCATACAAAATAAAGTTACGATGATATTCAATTACATTCAATTATACGAAATAAATATTATATAAATAATATCTTTACTTTATCTAATAGGTACGAGGTACCTACCTATGGGTAAGTGCGAAAAAACCATCACTTATCTGTACGAATGGTATCTTAAGATTATAAAAATAACATAATTTAATGTTTGTCGATCGATAAAATTGAAGATCTTGATATTTTTACTGTTTTTATGTTATTAGTCTATGTTCGTTGTTAGTTGTTACAATGTAGTTTGTTTATAGTGCTAAGTGATCAATAATGGAATGATTAAAATCGAATAAAAATTACGAAAAAGTTGCTTAGTGTACCTACATATAGCCAGTGGCGTCCGCAGGATTTTTTAATGGGGGGGAGGGGTCTTGGAAATTAGTTACAATTTTATTTTTATTTTGTCCAGTCTAATGATGAAAGACGTTTATTTGAGGTATTTTCAAATGTTTGTAGCTTTTCAACTCTTCTGGTAGAAAAAATGCTCTGATTATAAGCTTCGATGAGCAGTGTATGTTTATGGAAGCAAATTGGATCTAGTTAGTACTTTTAGGAGGTCGAAATTGAAAATTTTTAGTGCTTTTAAAAATAATCGGAGAAAAAAAATGAAAATTTATTTAAATTGTTTGGTAACAAGCTTGGTATTACCGTCTTAACTTGGATTGTATTTGATGAATTGAAATTTTTTTCTATAAATGTATACGGGTAGCATACGGGTACAGACTTTCAGCGACAGTTATTTATTTTTTTTCACTTTTACGTGTGCAAGCGTACCGATTAGACGTGCTTCCAAGTGTTGTTCCCTTATCTAATCGTTGCCCATTCATTCCGCAGCTCTACGCCGACGTCTACCACAGGTAATACAATGCTTTATCATATTACGATATATATTAAAACATAATTACCCCGATAACCGTACATCCGTACAAAAGCGATCTAAACATTATGGCTGAACCAAATCTTATTCAATCACCCGACAAAAAAAATATGACCGATCTTAATAAACCGTCAACCTACACGCAATCCATACTTACACAAACTACAAATACTCCAAGCTTCGCATCAAAAGTAGCCTCCAAACAACTACCAAAAAGAGAATTAGCCATAGTATTCAACACTATCGAAAATATACCACAAATAGAATATCTTATCGCTCTTTCCAAATTAATCTCACCGAAAGACATTACCTAGAAATTCGCTAAACTAGACCGGTTCAAAATTATCCCACATTGTCCCGCACCGGGATAATGAACCATGTAAATGATATGGTCCAAACATCCCGGTGCATTATTTTTCACACCGGTTTAGTCTAGCGAATTTCTATTACGTATGCTTCCCGAGTATCTAATGGTCGTTTCTGTGTATATCTCTCAAACAAAAATACAATCGACAACCTTCTCGAAAACCACCAAAACATTATCGTCAATAACCAGATTATCAATATTCGCCGTCTAATTAACCCAGCAAAAAAATTAATATTATCTAACGTGTGCCCAACAATTCCTAATTCTATTATCGAATCGGGTTTAAACAATGCCGGTTTTACTTTAGTATCACCGTTTATTAAACTAAGAGCCGGATTTAATATAGAAGGTTTTACACACATAATGAGTTTCAAAAGACAATTTTTTGTCAAACCAGATGATTTTGAAAACAAGCCTACATCGATTATAATTAATCACGAAGACATTGCATATAGATTATTTATAAACATGGTTTATTAACATGGTTACATGTTTCCACTGTAAATTAAAAGGACACATTTCAAACCAATGCCCTAATCTGAAAACGCAATTAGTACAAAATGAAACACATAATATATAGCTATACCCGAAACAAAAATAAATGAGAACATGACATTAGACAACGAAGACATTAACAAAATAAGATTAAACATTGCACCACCCACAGGGATAAAAAGACCGGCGCCTTCTACATCAACCCCATCTTCCCCCCCTTCTTCTCCTGATAACGAAACCTCAAATGTCTTCTCAATGGATCATACTTCACAAAATTTAAACGAAAACGATAATTCAGATTGGACAGTAAAAACAACAAAAAAAAAACGAAAGAGAACCCCTTCTCTTGAACATTTCATCGCTAACCTGAATATAAGCCTAAAACCAGCAGAAAAATTTTTTGAAAGAAAAACCTTTATAATCCTTTATATCCCACCTGATTACTCTTTTAAGTATTTCTACATATTCCTATTATTAACTAAGTATAAAAAATAATTATTTGAAATAATAATTTCGTTACAATATCAACTTGTTAGTTGTGTGTCTTAACTTTTTGATGAAAATAGTTTGAAACTTCTAAACACCTAAAGAAATATTTTAAATTATTACTATTGGAAAAATAAAACTAAGTACACAACGTTATTAATAATATGTTTTCCTATATGATCAAAATGAAGTTGTACCTGTATGTAATAAATGTAATTACCTATATTTTTATTTTCGTACTAAAGTGACAAAATTGATAATATTATATTGTATTAAGTAATATGCATTAGGTTAACCCATAAAATTAATTAATTATAAATATTCAAATTATAAAAAATTATTTACATGTATTAACCCATAGTATTTTTATAAAAAAAAGGACAATTTCATGAGCTTAACTATAGTCAATGCACCAAAAAATAATATGTCTTGTCATCATAATATACTGCATATTATACTAACACAGTTTACTCGGTAAAATTAATTTTAAAAATCTTAATTTATTTTGCTGTTTCTTGAAAAAATTATAAAACCTTTTTATTGTATTATTATTTATTTACTACAACAGAACACTAATAAACATGAAGAATCGTCTCAATTCTTAGTACATACTACTTAGTAGTATACTATACATGGTAAATTTATACAATATAGAACAACTTGACCATTTTGTTTTGTAATTAAATGAATTCAAATTCCATATAAATAATAAAATTAAACTCTGTATATACTCGGTATAACAATACCATGGATAATGACCGCTAAAGAGAATATTTTATATTTCATGTTAGATATATTGGTAAAATATTTTTCACTATAATTTATAAATAAATCACAGTTATAATTAATTTTCGATTATTTGATTCTTTATAAAGTCTGAAAATAATCGATTAATCAATTAATCTTTTAATTAATTAAAATTATCGATTATATAAAATAACCGAGCAGCCCAAGCCAATACTACCAAGTATATTTATGATATTATTATGACAGATCATATAAAACTATTTTATATAATCCATGATATTATTTCTATTAAAGTAATATTTTATTTTATTATTAGTAACACTGTTAGTTGGATTAATTATTGCCAAACACATTTCATTTGAAAATGGCATTGTGTGTACAATTTATAATATTCTTTACTCTCATACTCTCACCAACCACTCATTTCATGGTACCACCTGATTACTCTTTTAAGTATTTCTACATATTCCTATTATTAACTAAGTATAAAAAATAATTATTAGAAATAATAATTTCGTTACAATATCAACTTGTTAGTTGTGTGTCTTAACTTTTTGATAAAAATAGTTTGAAACTTCTAAACACCTAAAGAAATATTTAACTAAAATCGTTATTATTAATATAAATACCTCTAATTTGATCCTAATTTAAACTAAAAATATCTATGAAGAAAATTGTGTTTAGGTATATATTTTACAGTTTTTTCGGTTACATTATTAACTACTTATGAGAAACCTTAATTTACATGTCCAGTCCTCAGCTATAGAAATTAAACATATAAAAGTTGTAAAATTAATAAAAAATACAATAAACATAGTGTAACATACAATAATGTAATATATGAAAACATTTATGTATTGTACCTAAAAAAAAAAAAATCATGAATGCTAAGATGTTGTTAAATGTTGTGGCCTATTAATAGCTACTACGCCAGGTGAAGACCGCATAATGTTCCATTTCGCTGTGACCATGGCCCAGGTATTGGTATTTGGGTTGTAACATTCTACAGAATCCAACAGACAAGATTCGTTCATTCCACCGACGACATACAATGAACCATCTAATGTGACTACTTCTATAATGAAAAATTAATGTAATTTGAAATATTAAAAAAAAAGTTTCATAAGATAGTTTACATATTTTATTCTACGAGATGTTACCTGCATATTTTCGAGGCAAAAGTATGTCTGTAATAGTTGTCCAAACATCCGTAGATGGTGTGTATTTTTCCACACTACTCAAAATGTTTGATCCATTATCACCGCCTACAGCATACAGTTCACCGTATAAAACTCCTACACCGGCACCACTGCGACGTACACTCATGTTGGCGACTGGTTCCCACTCATCAGTAGAGGGATTATAACATTCAACAGAGTTTAAAGCCTGTCTTGATTGATCATAACCTCCGACCTATAAAATTTATTTAATACAAATAATTGTGGAATAAAAATACCTCATGCTAAGAAGAAATTCCGGAATAAAATATTATTGCATTACATTTTCAATGAAAGTGGTTGAGAACATATTTATAAAAAGTTGAATAAACAAAATATTATGATTTTTAATTACAAAAATGTATCGATTATAAATTATCAATTTCAATGTTACACAGTTACAAAAACGTTTAGAAATTAAAAATATTATATATTTAACAAAAATAATACAAAAGAACATTCAGGACTAAAACTAATTAATGTTAAGTAGTAAAAAAACTTAAAGAACTAAAATAATTGAGCTATATTTAATTTTGAAAATAAACATTTAATAAAGTTTAATTTTTTTGTGTGTATGGTAAAGTAATAAGTAAGGTCTTATTAAACAAGAGAATAATAATACTTTTTGTTTTACATTAAGTATAAGTAGAATAAATATTCTTATTAGTTTATACTTCAATATAAATTTAAATTTTGAATTTATCGAAATATTTTATTTTGTGAAAATGTTACGCGATTCTTTCTCAGGAGAATTTTATTATTCCAGTTACAATTATTATTATAATAAATATCAAACAAAATTAAAATACCACATATAAACAGTCACTCAAAACTCCAACCGCAAATAAAGATCTTGTAGTAGACATCTTATTTGATAGCATTTGCCATGATTGAGTATAGAAGTCAAAAACCTCTACACATCTTAAATCACCATCTCTATCATTGTATCCTCCTACCTTAAACCAAATGTATAATTTATTGGTACGTGCTTTTTAATAGAAATAATGATTAAACTAATAAATTATGATTCAACATTACTTACAGCATAGATATTATTCTGAATGACACCTACGCCTAAAAATTGTCGCTCAACTAACATGTCGGCACATCGTCGCCAACAAAGGGGTTTTGATGAGAAATCTAGCATATGAACACACCGATAAGGTGATAAACCATGAGTAAAGCCACCAACATCAAATACATAATTCCAGTTAGATACGACTAGTCTGTGTCTTCTATGGTTTGTAATCAATTCTGGTCCAAAATGCCATCGGTTCGTTCGTGTATCGAACCATTCTAAACTATTACTTAATCCCGGCCCAATTCCACCAACAGCTAATATAACCTGTTAAAATGAAATTATTAAATGCATTGGAAAGATAAACAAATTATACAGAATCATACATTTTCTCCATGTCTGGGTTTATGCTGGATGCTTTGTGGAATAAACACTCTTGATTCAGATTCTAATGCCTCAAATAAATTAGGTATTAACTCACGACCTTAAAAATTATAAATAAATATATATCTAAAATATAAATTAATTCACAATGAAGCATATTTAAAGGGAAAACTTACATTTAAAAAAACTCTTAATAAGTGGTTCCTCAATTATATATGTAAATAAGTTACCCCTTAATATTAATGGAAAACGTACGTGTTCCAATAATTGGGGTAAAATACAACGTCTTGAATCCAATTCATAATTTACCCAAAGAATAACACTTTCAAATACCTAAAACAATAAATAAACATCTAAATTAATAAGACTACTTATAACATTTTAGAAGGTTACTGAATTTTTCCTTCATTAATTATAAAATATAACAATAATCAATTTTAATTTTAGTTTGCCTACTTCTTCTTCTTCAGATTCTGGAAGTCTATCGCTGGATATCAACTTGATTAATTCCTCCGATGTTAAGGATAGGAATTCGTCACAGATGTAAACTCTTCTAAGAATCAAAATATTAAAATGATAAATAAAATGCCTTTATACAATCATAATAATAAATTATATTTCATACGAAAAGTGTTGATGAATATAAACTTCTGAAATGGTTGTCAAATTCGTACAGCTATGTAAGTCAGCAAAAGCGTTAATACCAATACAATTTGTAGGGGAGAGTTGTGACTGTAAAAAATCACAACATGCCTCTGTAACTTCTTGTAACTGTAAGATATTTGCTGCCGGTACCAAAACCTTGAGAAATAAACAATATAAAATTAAAATACCTTTGTGTTCTACAATTAAATCAAACATAATCTATTATTACCTGGACGTTGTTTTCAGTGATCTCGATTTGTCCTGAATATATAAAGTCTACCAACTGCTGTAAAGCGGTTGAGTCAAACTGTTTCATTAATACGAGGTCATGATCCCTTTCTGCAAAATTTGTGAACATAGCACGGAAATACATGCTAGACGCTGATAAGACCACTTTATGTGCAGTTATTATTTTGTGATCGTCTGTTTTCAGTTTAACATCACAAAAAATGTCACCACTACAAAAAAATTTTATTAATATTTTACTAGGAGATTAAATCACTTACCACTTACTTCCGTAAGGATTGCAAACTTTCATATATATCTACATAAGATGATTTTTTATAGAATTTGACTGGTTCACATGTATTTTCCATTGTAAATAGTATATAAACTCACGTTATGAATGCCTTTAAACTAAAAAAGACATTTCAAAATCAATTATAATTTATAACTATCGATAAATACAATTAACAATCATCTATGAAAATTTAATAAAATCAATACATTATTTTAAATTGAAATCGGAAAAAAAAAGAGAGCAAATTTTTCTGGATGAAATGGAATGATTCTAAAGTATAATGGAGTAATATGGTTGTACTCCGTTACTAACATGATATTGTTTTGAGATGGTTTGTACAATATATTTTTTAGTAAAATATTGTTGAATCCCATATTGGTAGGTACGTATCTAATAGTATGGTCTTTCCTTTAATGTGGTTTACTTAAAATCAGTTTTTGTATTAAAATTAATAGAACTTGACTGGTTCACATGTATT